TACTGACTGCCAGGTGTGAAGCCGCGTCCAAGCAAATTATAATAATTAGATGGATTATAGAACAGATATTATCTTACTTTTAATGACCCAAAACTTTTTAGGTACAATAACCCAAACAATTTTATAAAAATTTAATGCCCTTTAAATCCATAATAATTGATGGACTGCATTCAACTCAAGCTGTGTAAATGAAATAGTAGAACAAGGTATGTTGAAGCTTGAATCAATAGACAGGACAATAAGATGTGAACGTTTTGGCTTAGTCTTCTTCAGTGAACAGGACAAATGAAAATACAAGAGACAGAGCACAGTAAAAAAACTTTACAGATATCCTTTGTTGTTGCCGGACAGATCAGTGAAACTTGCATATTTAAAACCACTGCTTTATTCAACATAAAGGAAACTTCCCAACTATAAATAAACAACATGCATTACAAAAAAAGAAAGAAACTAAAACATCTCACTACAGGTATGATGACGTAGTCATGATGTGATTACATTTAATTGGCTAAAGTGACTTGTAAAACATTACAGGAATTCTGTAGTAATTTCCCACCAACCATCATTTACATGTATTGTTATTTAAAATATATCAATCTCTTTATGTTTTCATGCATGCAAGTTCTTTGTGCAGAGGTTTTTTTAAGTAAAAAAAAAAAAACCTACTTTCACCATTCATATCTTTAATATCCACTGTTTCTGTTGTTTGTGCTTCACTTTCATCAGCTGAAGACTGCAGACAAAAATGCTCAATTAAACTTGGGTTTAACTAGTGACAGAACAGCTATGCAAATTTATATATTTTTAAAAAAATAAAATGATTGAATCTGATCTTTTCCCTACTTAACATATATTATTGTTAAACTAGTATTCTGATCAACTAGGGCAACATTTTTATTTTAAGTGTAATGAAAGAGAATGTCTACTGCTAAACTTATTATAAAAACCAAACATTTATTGTTTCAGTATTCATTATAAGTAAGAATTTAACAACAAAGTTTTTTTTGTTGTTCTTTATTTCATTCAACTGCTCTACAAACTGCCTGTATAAGAATTTTCACTGACCTCTCAAATTCTGTATTTTGTGCAAGAACCATAATTATTCAACTAAATTGTTTTCCACAAAATAATTCCATTCTCAGTAAAAAAAGCCAGATCAGCTTTATATACACATTATTATGTACTAAAATGTTACAGCATTCTATTAAGACTACACATTAATTTTAACACATCATTGCTGTCAAAGATCTCCATTCTATACCTCAGATTTGGGATTGGTGCTTTTGCCACGAGACCTAGTCGACCTTGAACTTGATTCTGAATCTGTATTCGGCATCTCTGCTGGTTTGGGTGGCTTTAATTCTGTATTCAAATGGGATATTCTTTGCTTTTTCACCGGGATCTCAGGATACTCTATGACCTGTCATGTAAATAACATGTAAATAATTAATCAGGGCAGATCCTTTAGCATAAAGATTTTAAAAAGGATACACAAATATGTCAAACAGTACACTAAGCCCTTTTTGCAATCTGTAAACTTAAAGATAGTCTGAGGCCTTGATGTGCAGCAGTAAAACAAATGTTTAAGTACACATTGTACAACATGGTATGGTTATGTATGAAACAATATGTTTTGGTTGCTAAGATAAAAGCTTTTTGCTTAGGGTGAAAGATGTTGACAATTCCTAAATGATCATTCACAACAATAACAAGTAACAAATGAAAAGCATTGGTTCTCACTTGATCTTTAGCCCTTGACCTTTTCATTTCTTTGGTTTCTGATTCTTCTATATTATTCTGAGTCTTTCTTCTCTTTGACTTGGATTCCTCCTCTTCTTCCTCCTCCACTTCATCTAATTCTTCTTCCTCTGAAGATTCTGCTACTCTCTGAACACGCTTTCTGGATTCAGGCTTGACCACAGGCTTTTATTTACAAAAAAAAATTAATTTTATATTATATGCTTTGATAAATTTAATGTGGTATTTGAATGCTACTAGTGTTAGAGAGGAAATGCTTTTTGTTTCAAAGGATAATCATGTATAAATTTTCAATAAAATTGACACATCTTAACACAAACCCAGAATTTTCTACACATGGGTTAAAAATCAACGCCCCATAAAGCCAATGTTTTTGTCTTACCTTAGATATATCAGATTCGATACAAATTCAAAAAATAAAATATCAATGAATGAATATTATAAAGAGAGGTCTGTTTAATAAATTCAACAAATAATTTAAGTTTAAAAACAACTTTAGTTACCTTAACTGCTGCTCGCTTGGGTGGAGGACTAGGACTGCGACGTTTGGGTTTAGAGGTAGGCTTTGTAGTAACCTGAGTTGTGGGCAGTTTAGCTGGAGGCTTTGACACAGCGCGGCGAGGAGAAGGAGATGGGCTGCGCTTTAATTTCTTCACTGGCACACTGGCTTGTGATCCAGAAGATCTTGATCTCGAAGGAGGTTCAGGTGATGGTGATTTTGGAGGGGATGGAGACCGAGCTTTTGCTTTCTGTAGCAAAAAGGTAACAGGTTTTTGTTTATAAGAATAATTTGAATGCGATCAAGTAAGGCTGCCATTGCCTTTAAGTGCCATTATAATGTTAAACTGTTTAAAGGTTATTTGCCAAGAATTGCTGCTAAGCTGAGGTATCATAAATCATGACAAGAAGACAAACAGGAAATATGTTCATTTGTAGCATATACATAAGTTCATAAAGGGTTAAGTGAACCCATTTATAAAATGATTTAAAATGAAGAGGAATAACAATGGAGTATAACACTTAGCTATTTCTAAAAATAGTTTTCACCCCCTAGATCTCCATGGAAAGCAATGTCAAAAGAGTGAGGGATGAAAAATAAATAAAATCATACAATATACTTGGTAAAATTTCTCCAAACAATCCCAGGTTATGGAGGATTGGCTATCTTTTTTTTTAGTTATGACAGTGACAATTGAGGTTCAGAAGTGGAGAAGTAAAACTAATTTATTTGAAATCTTTACGAGAAGGCCAGGGAAAATGACAAATTAATATTATTATGAGCCAATCTGCACTTACCCTACTTAAACTGGCTCGGCCTTCGCTAGCTTGTTTTTCTTCTTTTTTCAAGACAAAATCAACATCTTTTGAGGTTGGTACAACTTTCATTTTCTAAAGAACAAGTAGAAATTTATTTTTTAAAACTTTGTATAAATAATTATGGTCTTTTAAATTAATTGTCAAGGTCGAGAATTAGAATTTTACATTTGTCACTTTCCATTTAGAAACTTATCATAATCATCTATTTATAATAATAACTAGCCAAATTGTTACCTGTAATTTTTCTAACATTTCTGTTTTTCTTAGAATTTCCTGCAATAAAAATAAAAAACATTAATACTCACAAATTTAATTAGATCACTTTTATAATCCCTTTACCCCGGGGGCGGCCAACCCATGGCATGCATGTGGTCAGCTTGCAGCCCGCCACGTTAAATACTGCAACCTGTGGATGCCCTAATCTTCACAAATAAATTTTTTTTATCATTCAATTTGCAAAGAACAATTTTAATAAGTTAAATGATCAAAAGATAAACAAACATCTCATTAGCTTAGTTTTCTTTTGTTATTTTCATTGCTGTATGCCAATTAAAGGAATAGATAAATAATGTTATATGTGATCATGCTGTCCACAAAAGATTTAGTCCCTATCAAAGCAGCCCAGGAAGCAATTTGGGTTGGCCAAATATGGTTCACCAGAAAGAAGGGAGGGAAAATATTCTATTGGTGAAAAAGATGCATTTCTTAATATGTATTTAGATCTGATACAAGAGAGCTTTTTAAATATAAACCATTCTGCCATCTTGCATCCATTTTTGTTGTACTTTGTAAAATTACCTCTTCAAGATCTTTTTTCTTTTGTTCCTGAGATTTAAATTCTTTTTTGAGGACCCCTTCTGGAATGTTAAGTTTCTGTTCAGCTGATGAACATCTGTAACAAAACAAAAACAAAGAAGTATATAACCTTCTTTTAATTTTTAATTAAATTAACAAATTTTTAATAACTTCATGGGCCAGCTATAGGAAATAAATTTAATTCCCATCAGTCAAAGAGATTTTCTCATTAATAATTAAATTTTGAGCTCCATCTTTGACTAATGTTGATCTTACTTGCTGTGTTGCTGATCTGGGTTCATGGTGCATACCCAGTGATCTGGAAACTCCTTACCAATGTTGTTAGAGTTGAATGGGATCATTCGCCATTTCAGGCACATGTCTACATGAGAGAAACACATATAGATATTAAAGATAAGAATTTGACGGGGAGAGGACAAAGGCAAAGGTCATATACACTTTCCAAAAGGCAAGATTAAGAAGAGAAATTCAATTTTAAAAAGCTGGCTAAGTCATCAACTCACCACACTGTAGTGTCACACTGAGTTGCATGGCCCGCTTTCTGACATACTTGATATCATCTGATGGAACAGCTTTCCATTCTGAGCTTATGTAACCAAAGTTTTCCCTGCGGCACATAACAAAGAAAAGTGCAGACAAGTAACATTATAAAACTTATTAATCTCTATCAAAGGATATCTATTTCAAGAATTAAATGTTTATACCTTAGGTATATATATATTCTAAAACAAAATAATTAGAAAATCCAGTTACCTAGAGACCTAGATGTTTCTTAAGTATTTACCAAAAGCACATAAAAATTGACCCCCTCAAAAATAAAAATTTCAATAAGAAAAAATCATTGCATTGCATAAAATTACAATGATAAATATTTTTACATGGTTTAAAATAACATTAACAACAAAAATTTAACTCACCAAAATTTTGTTATGCCCTGTTGTGCTAAAAAATGATATAAAATAATTTCATGATAATTTTTTGCAAAAGAATTTAAAAACACTTATCTCAATGTAATAATGTGATTTTAAAAAATTCAGCTAAAACTACATTTAAAAAATAATTACAATTTTTTTTTAGATTAACTTAATAGAGAATAAAGCATTTTCATTTCACATAAATAGCTCACCTATTCCTACGTCCTTCCAGTATTGTATCATATGTTCTCCCATTGCTCTCATCAAATGCCGATATTCTTTAGCATCAGCAAAGTCCTGCTTGTTGTGTGTAGGTTCCAATACCAAGTAAGGTACGTCCACAATTCCTTAAGTGCACCAAAAAAATTTGATATAATCCAATATTATCATCACCTGATTATGATAAAATATGTCTTGATTTGCAATATAAATGCACAGCTTTAGGTGTAAAATGACTCTTGATTGTGTGCACCAAACTGTATTTTACAGGGTCATGTAAGTATTTCACTTGATTGTACATTTTTTTCTCTATTCCTTAACAACAGTATATTATCTTCCAAACATTCAAGTAAAATATTAATCAGGTTTAAATGCTCAAACAAGAACTACAAAGTATAAGATTATTCTCCCTTGATTATAGTTAATTGATTGCTGATCTTTATTTTTGTAGATCAGCTTACCAATGTTTGTTCCTGTTTCTTTATCTGCAGCTAACAAGCTCATGATTAACAGGAAGAAACAATCACTGATACACAGTTAGCAACTATTATTATTCATCCTTTGCTTGTGATGATGCTCAAGTCAATACTTGACTTGGGTAGTAGCCTTGGCTTGAGCTGTAAAGTGAGGGAGAATTGTTCAATTTGTCAGCCTCACTCTCTCATCCTTGCCTCTTTGATCCAAGAAATAGACCAGGATGCAGAAGATGACCAGCAGTGGTTTTCTTTTTGAGTTTCATTGTGCTCTTTATGTGTTCCACTTCATTGTGTCATTGTCATACTGCCTACGGGGCTCCAGGTTTGACTTTAGATTTTAATTTCTCTTAGATGACTTGCCATCCAAGTTTAAGGAGTTCCATCCACCTGAGGTGCTGGTGGTGTTTTCTCTTGTCAAGGCTCCAGATTGAATTCCAGTCCCCAAGCTTGGGATTGACTTAGTTTAAACCATTTGGCCACTCAGCACAACTCTTAATGCTCCTATGACCCACTCATAACCCGACCACCCAAGTTATTCCCCTGAGATATTTCCATAAAATGTTGAATTATGAACGAGTATCTATGGTAGTTATATAGAGATGGCCCACCAACAAACAGTGTTCAATTGGTATAAGTTAATTATACTTCTAGATACTTTTCAGACAAAAGAAACTTGTGATTTTAAGGATTACCCAGTAGTTAGTATATTAAATTTTTTATTTTATTATTTTAAATTCTATTGAATGAACTCTGTTGGGATCATGTAATAAATTGTGACCATAAGTTCAAGTTTTGTTTCACAGTTATATTTTTGTGCAACAAAGTAGCTTATTTTCAACATTTGACTGTCTGTTTATGGGTCCATGCTGATGGAAAATTACAAGAAAAAAAAAAAGAAACATTAAGTTGGTCATGTATTCAGACCTGCCAACCTGCCAAGAAAAAAATTCTGAAGGGGGGTGCACACTGGGGCGGCTGCCCCCCCGGGGGGCGTTGGTTTAAGATCTATAAACTAATGCACAAGCCTACTTTAGTAAATAAAGAAATATAAAGTTACCTCCATTGTCTTCGAAAAGTCCACTGACTGGAAATGTTTATTTACAGATATAATGATATATCCAATAGCCATACAGTATAGGACAGAAGATCCATTTTATTTACATGTGTACACAGGATGTTAAGAGATCAGTTTCCAGCCTATTCCTAGTGGCCTTTTTGCACCTGTCCAACAGCTCTTTGGACAACTGAAGGTTAGCATTGCAATTGATTTTAGTTACAAGCAAGTTAGAAGAGTATCAACTTTCAAGCTTGCCCTTGTTTCATTGCACTTTTCTTTACAATCTTCTACCAATCTGCAAGTCTGGAAATATTTCTTTGACTCTGGCATTAAAACAATCAGAGTTGGCTAGAGAAATATTTCCTTCAATATGAAAGGTGGTCAACAAAATGATCTGATCGTCCGATTCCTTAGCAAAAAATTTTTTTATTTTTAATTAGATATGGATTACTTTTACTTTTAGTTTTAGCTGCAGTTGTAGTTGTATGTTTTTTTTGTTTTTTTTTGGGGGGGGGGATTTTTTTTTTTTTTTTTTTTTTTTTTTTATTTTTTTTGTTTTTTTTTTTTTTTTTTTTTTTTTATTTTTTTTGAGGGTGGAGAGAGTTTGTTAAAATATGTTTATTAATATTATTGTACCCACCACTTTCAATAGATTTAACCATTTAATTAAGAAAATCTTTAACAAAAAAAGTCTGAATTATTTTTTAGCCATTTTTAGCCGATCGGATCAATTGATGATTGAAATGGAAGAATGATTTGGAGATCGCGGTTCGCTTCGATAAAAACAAGGCAGTTTCTACACGTCAGGCAATCGGACAAATAGTACGAGAAATATTCATCCGGTGGGCATTCCACTCTTTATAAAAAAAAACACTGTCCCTTTTTAACCAATTGTACATTATTTTATATACCAGAAACTAGTATTTCTTTTGTAGAATTGAACATATTTCTTTTCATGTAAATGTTCAGACTATCTTGAATTTGTTGAATTACCGTAAGCTCTGATAGACAATTAGCAGCACATGACAAGGCTGATGGCTGAGAATGGTCGCCGGACTCGTAGACACTTTGTTAAGTGTTAATTTGACAGTGAAAAATTATAAAGTTCTAAAAATCGGAATTTTAAGGGGTTGGTGGGAAGGCCGGAACGAGGGGTAAAAAATCTGTATCATTCCGACAAAATCGGAAGGGTTGGCTGGTCTGTGTATTGATTACCAGATCTGACCCCCGTCACACATGAAACCAACATTTTATTTGGGTAAAAATATAAGAGGTCTTTCTTTTCTATAAGAGATCTTTCTTTTCTATAAGGTAAGATAATAATTTAATGAAATATTAATAAACTTACCTACAACTCCACTGCAAAACCTGCAAATAATAACTATCATTGAATTAAAACGTTCTCAAAAATGATTTTAAACAAATAAGCACTATTTAAAAAACAGAATAAAAATCATGAAGTTGAATACATTATGCCTGATATGCAAATCTCAAGTAATTTCATGACTTAATTAAAACTCTCCTCCAGTATTTCAAAGCTCTGTTTACTTACACTCCTCCTTCATTCTGTGGGCCGACTTTTTCATACATTTTTATCAGCCGACTGCAGTTATAAACAAATACACCATCATGACTGCGATTTTCCAAGTTCAGACCAAATATGAGATTTAAAGTCTTTGGTTCCTTCAGGGATCTAAAAATGTAAAAAAGAAGTATATTTAGTTATATTTTTCTAAGAATTCTGAGACCCAGAATTGAACAATTTAATTAGGTAGCCATAAACCATAATACTAATCATACAAATAATTCTTCAGCAAATCAATTAATTTATTGACTTACTTTGTTTTTCTTTCTGCCATCTGTCGTTTGATTTGAGCATTGCCTCTACATTCAGCAGCATAATTTTGTGCTTTCCTTAGGGCAGCCTATTTTAATATAGGTTTACATGATGTATCTTAAAAAAGACACTAATTATTTAAAGATCTTTGTCTTAAATGTATAAATCTTATCTCCATTAAAAAAACTATTAACATCAATTATTTTAATCTGCGAACTGTCAAATGCAAACATGCTGTGGTGTCAACTGTTTTTAGTATCTTTGTTATGTATCACTAAAATACCCCAAACTTATAGAAAATGAACACAGATATCCATATAAGTATAGATATTCTGTGAGTAAATTGGATAATGAATCAAACTGTATGAATGTTGGAATGCTGTGAGCTACGTTAAATGAATATGACCTTGACCCTTTAACTGTCAATTGTGCTACAATTTGCAGTTTATCTTTCCTCAACTCACACCCACACTGACTTTTGGGGTTTTTATTATCTAAACAAGTTGATCATACATATAAAATAGTATTCTTTAAGTTAAGAAAATATAAACTTATTTGGGTTAATAGAATTGTTTAAAAAATATAATGAATTCATTGGTGACCAAATATTTCTTTATATAATGCCTATTAAATTCATTAGTACCCTATTTTCCCTAATATCACTATTAGAACTTGAACTGTTAATAGTCTGTAATTATTACCACCATGAGTAATGCAAACAAAAGTATCTTCAAAATCACTTTCATAAAGAAGTGATTCAAATAAATTAGGCTTTTGTTTTGCAGGGCCAACCTCTGAGTCACACGAGTCAGTTTTTTTCTTAAGACTGAAAATTTCAACTTGACTTCAAAATATAAATAAAATATGAACACATGAAATATTTACCTTAGTTTTTTATAAATATGAAGCAAATCTAATTTGTTAGAGTTATCCTCCATTAAAAAAAAACCTGTTAAACTTCTGATTGTAATTCATAATAACAATTTTATTAGAGGTCGAGTGTATTGACCGTAACACCACAAAGCAGCCCTCGTTATCGGATGTTATGACACTTCCTGGGTTGAAGGACTGAAACTTACCCTCTGTTCTTTATTAGTTGAAGAACCAACTTTAGTTTCTAGATTTCTGCAAAATTATATTATTGAATGTTTCCATAACTTAATTCATATGAACTAATTTTGATAACTCATCTAAAAAAATTAAAATTTTCTAAAGAACATTCTGGTTAAAAAGAAACACAAAGCTTTACTTTTTTTTTCCTCACGGGAATGCTAAGCTTGAGCTAGTAATTATAACATGCTGAAGTTTACTTATACTTCTTACTTTATTTACTTTTCATTTATTATATAAAACTTATATAATGCTTGTTAACATATAAATATAATTAGCACCACTTAACTTTAAACATATTGATCTAAATGAACACAGCACCACCTACTTTGCTTTACTCTCAGCCTCCCTGGCCTTGTTCTCAGCAGACAGTGCCTCATCTATAGCTCGTTTTGCTTCGTTTTCAGCCCTTGTTTTAAACCGATTAGATGAATATTTGTAGATTTTAGATTTGTATAATGTACATGCAAGCCTCTTGGTGCGGACTTTTTTGTTCTGAAGGTAGATTCGCATCCTTGGATCCATGTACAAAATGGCTGCATAGGCTCTAAAAGATTTTCTTTCAGGCATAAGGCTGATAGAGGTGGAAACAATAGGGAAGAGAAAATGATCAGACAGCAAAAAATATGTAATTCTTGTTTCACACTAAAACCTTGGGCTAAAAACATGACAAAATCAAATCTAAGGGGGAAGAGCATATTTCCTGATAACTTCAGAGTTTAAGAGAGCTGCTAAGCCCTGGTTGAAATAAATTTGAACAGGTCAAATAACTAAGTATAACATTCAAATAAAGCCATCAGTTTTTTGCTTAACTGTCTCACTAACAATGATCAACTGTTTAAAAAATTCAAAGAAAATAAAATCTTCACAGTCCTGCGTTTGGCAATAAAACTGTATAAATGTTCTTTTAGATTGATTTGTTTGGATTTAAAACGCCCACTAGCCTTATTTTGATGCCTTTGCTTCGAGAAAACACATTTTTAGTTACAGTAACTTGGGATTTTTTAAAATGATCATTTCACAAAATTGAAATAACATACCCTTCATCTGAGTCGAAGTCATGGCTACTTGGATTAGCTAGGATAATATCTGTGGAATCAGTAATAAAATCCAATTCTGTGTCGCCCGAATCCAGCAGCTTTAAGTTGTACACCATAACCAATGTACCTGATTGGCCTTCTATTCTGTCAAACTGAGTGAAGAAATCTTCCTTACTCTTAAATGGGGAATATTTTAAAATTATCTCCATCTCTAATTCATGCTGAAAAAAATATAAAATAATTTTGTAACACTTTTAATACCATACTAAGAAGTAAATGATGGTTAGGTATTAACAATGAGATATTCAATTTTCAGATAACTCCAGGTGTTTGTTATTTATAGTTTTACGCTAACCAAGACATAGGTCTAATTCTGAGTGGGAATTTTGAATGGTTTTAAATTAAAATGTGACACACAGCTAAAGAAATAATAATACTAATTTTAGTACATTTGTAACTTAGCACAATAGAACTATGTTATTTGAGATAAAAATTTACTTTAAGGTTGGTAGGTCTTTTAAAAGCATAACAAAATCATAAGACTATTTTTCATTACGATGTTATGAACAGATCCAAGACTAACCAAGAAAAAAGGGCAAAGAAACAAAATCATTTGAGATAACTAAAATTCTAAAAAAATTATTAAATTCATTATGAAGAAATAGCAGAAGGCTATTGCATAAAAACATTAATTCTTTACTGTGCTAATTTGTATACAACAATGCAGTATCAGCAAACTGAACATTAACCATAAACAGTTTTGTGCACAAACCTTTTCTTTTAATTTGACATCTGCCATTTTTGGTTTCTGAGAGCATGCTTCAAATGAAGGTATAGGAACAATGACTTCATCTATGTTTTCTTCCTCATGAAAAGTTCGAGACAGAAAAAGACATGACCGTGTATCTCCTTTCTTTGTAAATAGCATAAGATCATTTCCTATTCGCATGGAGCCACTAGAGAGAAAGTATGAATCAATAATATATCCTAACAAACTTTTTTAAAAAATACTTGATATATCTATGAACATAACCGCCGATTTACATCGATGCAAGAGTGAAATAAATTTTAAAACTTTGTTTAATTTGGGTTACTTCAAACTTTAGAAGACTGCCTCTCTTTAAGTGTCCTGGATGATGGGTGGCCTCTAGCTTCACCCAGATTTAAACATTTGAAATTTATCTTCTTTAGTGCTGTTGTTAAATTAAAATTTTTTAAAGGAAAAATTAGCCATACTTACGATTTAAGACCATTACCATACATCCCAATCTGGTGTAAATCATCAGATTTTTTGTTAGACTTGCCAAAAGTAACAATACTTGCAGTTTCAACTAAAAGAAAGGTGGAAGGTTTGATGTTACGTTTGGGGTTTAAGGGTATTTGAAAATCATTATTAAAATATTTTGCAAATATATTTTTGAAGAAAAAAAAATAAGAAGAAGTTTACCTGGATCCATTCCTTCACCATCATCCAAGAAACACAAAATGTAACCGCCACGTAATGCTTCATTTTTAACTGAAATTATAAATTAAAAATCATTCCAAATTACATTTCTAACAAACAAACAAAAAAGAAATTCTTTAAATAATAACCTAACTGTTAAATAATTGTTAAAATACAGTACATTGAATATTATTAAAATATATGTTTAAAAAAAAGCCAATGAGGCCATTGAACTGGCTCTCGCTTTCTTACTGGTGAAAATGTTCATTTTTGTTGCAGAAGCATCTCTGGCATTGTCGAGCAGCTCAGCAAGTGCACCAAACAAAAACTCATGTGTAGTTCTGAATGAGAGAGTAAATAAATGGAACATTTATATTTTAGCGCATAATTTTTTTCATAGTATTACATTTGAATGAAGAATAAATCTTGAATTAAAGCCAATCTCTTAGGTTAAACATGATGAAAAAATATATATTTTTTTAGAATGAATGTTAATTTTTAGTTTTAAAACATACTGAAATTCATGTAGAGTTTGAATAAGCCAACTGAAAACTTTAAGCTATAGGAAAGTACTATTTTGTATTCAGACAACATTTTGACAAAACCTGCAATAAGAATGGCAATTTATGGATTAAAAATTAAGTTTTTACCATCATGTCAATACTTACGAATTGGTGTGTAAGTAATCAAAACTAAGTTGTGCACGATTCAAGTTGGTGTAATCCATGGTTACACCAGTAAATTATTGATAGGTTTCTGACTGAAAAATCAAAGAAAAAATTACTAAAAGAATGAGGATAGGTATAGAAACTATACTACTATATACAGGGTATTAGGTATATACCAAGTTAGCAACAACAAAATTAATATAGTGAGAGTCTTGACACTTTCTGAAAGGAATAAAGAGAAAATTCAAAGAAAATGATATAATATACTGCCAAAAGTTATAAAAATTGAAAGGAGAAAAATAGAGAAATGAATTATTTTTAACAAAAAAAAGGCAGGTTTTCGCCAGAGCATTAGGCGCAAGGATAGATGCTCACTTAGGATAATTAAGATATACAGAGATAAAATTAAGTTATATTTTAAGTTTTTGCGATATAATTTTGAATTTGTCAGAGAATGTAACAACTTGAATGCATTTCTCAGATAAGCTGCAACACAATAACGAGCTGGGGTTGTTCTCTTTCCTTCACAGTGAGTAAATCAGTGTTTCCCCTCAACACCTCAATCCCTTTTTTAAATAATCTCCAATGTACTTGTATTGTATACTCAGTGACTTAGACACTATACTTCAGATGCTTTTCAGTTAGGACTACAGTGTGGTCAGCTCTATTTAACAAAAGGGAGAACTCCTCTCTTATGTCTTTTCCATTTTAATAATATTTCAACGGCCCCATTTCCAAAATTCTCCGCATATTATATCTATTTTTTAAAATAAGAAATTGTCAATCTTCACTATGCCGATAACACCTAGCACCAAACTTTCTTGTAGACTGACAGTAACACAGACTTCATGAAAGAAAAAAAATATCTGTCAGTGACAGTGCCTTTCGAAATGCTAAGCTACACCATTATAAAAAGATCAGAGCTTTCATAGTATCAACAATACAGATTCTACTCTCTCTGAAATAAGAACCTTTGTGTAGTCTGTTTGCATCTGAGAATTTTGGCATAACATCTCCACTCAAAACCCTCTGAGAAATCTTGACGTTTCTTGAGATTCTTTTACACTTTACATTTTGGGCACACATATCTAGATGCTAGCAGCCCCTGTGCCATGCACCAATCTATAACATTCCTTTACCCTTCAATGCTGCTTCAGCCTTAACAAAACTCCATAGTTTAATGAATTAAGATTCAACTAAAAGTGTGCAGACCTGTTTACCCTCGTACTCCTAAAATCATACAAAAATCGTCTCAAAATAGTAAAATACAGTATATTAATAGTAAATAAATAAACATACAGTATATATAGTGTATACAATAATTACTTGTATCGCGTGTCTAGTGGAATCGAGTTAAGCTGGCGTAAAAAATGAAACAATTTAAACGTAATGCTGATAATTGAACCAAAAATGATGACACATCTACTCTATGAGTCGTACTTAAAACCAGGCCAATGGTAATTTATTGCCGCAATCTACGGTTTTGCTAGGTACACAGCAGCAGTAAATGCAGGCTTTAGTCTATGGTTTTGCGACAACACTTTACACATTTGTGTTTGTTGCCTCATGCCTTTCAACCCCCAGTTCCTGATACCCTCGCAACCAGTAAATATCCTGTTGAGTACCAGGCACAGAAACTTCGCAAATCCCCTCTACATAAATAGTAGTCAGAATGATGAATACTAATACTAATATACTGATCGCGGGCGCTCAAGATATAGAAGAAAGCATCATAGTGTAAGTATAATGTTGACTAAAAAATCAACATTATTTTAAATTATATTAATTATATATATCATTGAATTTAGAATTTAAGCTTTACACTTTAATTTATCATATCATCATGTCATATGGAAAATCAGGTTACAAGGAACACTTTTTAATTTAATAATAAAATTTCATCAATGCCAGAGGCAGTAAAGACTAAATTTTATTTGCAAAAAAAAAATAATAATAAAACTGGCGACCTACGCCTACGGTCAAGCAAGGTGTCATGTATTTGTGTTGTCGTGTTGTTACTGTTTGAGTTGTCTCTTGAAACAAACACAGTTCCAATTTTGTCTTAGCATTTAACCCAATGGTTCATATTTTTGTGATAATGTGCATTGATAAAATAATGAATGAAAACACAGCTTACAAAAATTCCGTAGTGCACTGTTGATTTTTTTGTCAAATTTAACACATTTTAGAAAGTACTTATTGATTGGACCTGCCAAGATAGCCGATGTTTTGATGTCAATTCACCGCACACACACCGCTAGCTTCCCTCCGTCGACCAGCAGACACGAATTTCAATGTATACGAAACAAACTTGACCACAGATATTACTTGAAAACAAAACAACCTTATTAAATGAAAGCAATCACATTATTTTAAATTATATATATGTACATAGTAAAATACATTTTGGCATCTTAAATAGGAAATTTTTGACTACAAATATATAAATATTATTCCTTACATAGTAAGGCCCTATAGTTTTCAAATTTTAAATTTATTGCATGCGCCTTGCCTTATTGCATTTAAAAATCATTATTTTAAATTAAAGTAGGCCTTAGACTCTATAAATTAAATCATGCATTTTATTTATATTAGTGACAATGTGGTAATTAATATATGATTCTCTTTTAATAGAATCATTTATGATGTTTTTAATAAATAGAAGATCTCAGTATTTTTTTAAAAATGTTTCAAGTTTTTAAGGAAAAAGAAGCCTTAACCATAACATTTTTATTAACATCCATAATTATTTAACTAAGCCAAAACATAATTAAGTGTCTTTAACTTTCAATAAAGTAAATTCCAAGATTCATTATTATAATCTTATTTGAATAGAGTTAACTTGTTATTTCATATTATTTCCTGATATGTTTCTATTACTTTGACTCTTAACTGACTTAACAAGATAATTCTAAAATGATTATATATACTCTTTTATTTAACATGACATATAAGGCCCTTTTTAGGAGCAAATGACTGTGACTATGGACGTATTTCATATCGCGAAGGTGTTCATCATTGTGTTATTTTGTGTTATAGACTATAATATGAGCAGTATCGAATCTATTATTATTGATTGTTATTTTTACAATCTTACAAAACTAGCATATATTATTAAAAACTAAAGTGTATTTTTTGCTTTAAATAATTAGTACATTAAATATATATATTATATATAATATATATATATATATGCATATATATATATATATATATATATATATATATATATATATATATATATATATATATATATATATATATATATATATATATATATATATATATATATATATATATATATATAAATAATTCTGCTATTTTTTTTCGCTTGAAATCCCCCCCCCTCCCTCTTAGGTAGAGCGTGGGTAAAAAATGTCTTATAATTTTTGTGTTATATAATATGTGCACGGCCCCTATGCCCACCACCACTATAAAGTTAGGCTATTTAAAGGCAATACTATTATATAATGTTTAGTATTTTGTGAAAAGAACATTTAGTAAAAGGCCTTCTTTATATATTATTATACGCTTGAGTTTTCTGTTTTATTTATTTAAAAATTATTTTTTTTTACTCGAGCCCATGCCTTAGCATGAATTGTTGTTTCAATTTTACCCTTTCAGTAGCGAACCTAAAGGGAAAAGAGAGGGGGAAAAAAAAGGGGGAGGGGGGGTCTTTCTGTTAGCAGATTACAGGTTGGGTAAAAAAAAAGCAACAACTCCATCCATCTTCAAATTTATTTTTTTATATATACTTTCATATTGTTTGTCATCTTGACCCCATTCTCCACAGCCACAATCTATATATATAATTTGCCAGAAGAAGGGCAAACAAGAAGACGACGACCACGTAGGCTATATATAGATACGTCAGAGCAAGCAAGACGTGGGAAAACCCTCCCTTCCCTTGCCTGCCTATCGTTGGTCTTGAGACAAGCGAACTGCAGTGGAGTTACCACCCCCCCCCTCCTGCACCACCCTCGCTTGCCAGCCATGCGCACACCCTAACAAGCTCGCGGCATCGTATGCTAAGCCGCGGGTCGGCTATATTTATAGAGTTCATGGGCGTAAAATAAAAAGTGTGCAGTGACGTATCATGGAAAAAAAGTGTGTGGGGGGGGGGGGTGTAGCAAAATTGGCATTCTTAAATGTGCGTAACTTGAGTTCACGTTTTTGTCAAGTAACTTTAGTAGATTGGAAGTTCACGCATTGCTGTCGCCAATGTTTGGCGGGCTATATCTAGTTCACAATATTTTGTGAATCAATCGGTTTGAAACTGAATTGAATGAGTCAATGGGCATGGGCTATACTATAATTTAATTTTAATTTCGATGATATAAACTAATATTTAATTTAAAATGTTAAAATTAAGACCAAGCATAATTTGCCATTTATATTTCCTCCTCATCCTCATGACTCGTGTCCCTTAGGCTTAGTCCTTGGACCGTTGGGGCGCCACAGATGACATGTGAACCATCCTCCTGCATTCCTCTCTATCTTAAAATTTAGATGTCTCTAAATTGATTATTAAATCTTACAAAGATTCGATAAAATGTGTTTTTAATTTAAAAATATCGTTTCTATTTTTTCCGAGATCGTAGTTTTATAATATCATGTTGTTTAGTTTTTTAAAAACAATTTCCATAACGACGCAAGACGCGGAAACCGGAACTTCGACGAAGAAAAGAGTGTAGTGTATTGTAACAAATACATTATAATATGCCCTTCTTTTGGTGAAAATAAAATATTGGTATTGATTTATTGATTGTTTAAATATACAATTTTATATCTATTTTAAATCGGTTGAAATACTAATTTATAGGTTAAAGTGCAGTTACTTGGCTAAATTAAGAGGAAATTCATCAGACCAGTCTAACTCAGTAACACTGCAGCACTATCAGATTCAGTGATCAGTAATAATATAATCATTCAATTAATTCAATATCATTATATACCAACGACTAGCTAGTAGCTAGCAATGGGGCATGGGGGAATGCAATAGGCAATACTAATAATCAATAGGCCTACTTACTTAAATCTACTAGTACTGTAATAATATTAATTAATATGACTCCATCACTGATTTACTCACTATCCACATCACTCACTCGTCATCAGTGTGATTGTTAATATTTAGTTTTAGATCTCTAATGTCCTCATTGTTAATTTTTCTTAACATCATGGAGAAATTTGCTTAGCATTGTCATAGGTACTTCAGTAAAAAAATTAAAAATTCCCAAAATTTTTAAAAATATTATGTTACAGTTTTATTGTATATATTGGAACGAACTTTAAATATAAAAAACGAAGTGTCTACATTTGTGGCAAGCCGAAGAATAATTCCCGAGATAATCGTCCAGCGATTTGTTCACATGACCACCGTAACGAATTTGGGACAGATATCTGTCGGTCAGCCTTGTCACATGACTGCTAATAGTCAATCATAAAACTGACGTCGTAGATGTATGGGGGGGGGGGGGGCGCAACGAGTACCCACATCATTTCAAGAAATAAGTGCGGGGTGGCAATGCATACTAGAAGGAAGAAATACAGAGAGCGAGAGAGAAAGGATTAAAATTTTGCCGGCGACCTCTTGTCACATGACATGTCTGTCGGAATAATAACACATAATAGCGGTCACATGACATGCCCACCGGAAGTATATCTCCAGCACTATTTGTCCGGTTACCAGATGTGTAGAAACTGCCTATTAAAAAAAATGAAACCAAAATCAGCATTCTAGCTTAAGTATTTTTTGAGCCATGCATTTTTAACATGTGATTTCATTTGTAATTTTTTGCCATGGCCATGGACTACACCTCCACATTTTTTGACCCAATTCCACTAATCTCGTCATATGAAATCACTCTTACTCTTGTTTAAATGATAATTTTATGCAACTTTTATTTTCTGTTTATTAAAAGTTCTAATTTTAAAATTAATTTTAACACTATTATGCAATTATAAATAAATTGTAACTTATCTATGTAATATGCACTATCAGTTAATTTAATAATTTACCAAATCTAGCTTTCATTATATATATATATATATATAATTTAATAAATATATATATAACTTAATATATATATATATACAAAGTCAATGCATTAAGGCATCCCCTAAAATAAAACTGGTTTGGGACTATTTATTATGAATTTTCTGCTTTTGCGCATGACTAAGTAATTAAAATTTTCCCTTGACCAAAGATTTAAATGCTTTTGCACATGGCATTTCTTATAAATGAAACTATGAGAATAATACTACAAGTCATAAAAATGGTATTTTAACCAAATATATGCTTCCATCAAAAGAAAATTCTTGACTCGCTCCAAAAGATTTTGAAAATTACCTTAATCTTCATACTCTGAATAGCGTTATTTAAATTTTTTGTTCCAAAGTGAGGAACACAGTTTGATTTTTTTATAAGGCTGGTCTCATCTATTGCAACTGCAAATTTATTACAAGCGTTTTCGAGTGTAATGTTTTTGGAGACAGTGAGAAACAGTGTTGTGTGATGTCTTTGGAGTCAGCAGCATGAGAAGCAATGTCTTGTGTGATGTGTTTGGACCCAGCACCATGAAAAGCAATTTCGTGTGATGTCTTTGGAGTCTGCACCATGAAAAAAACTTGTCCCAATGAATGTCAGAGTAAAAAGCAGCAATTTTGCAGCCTTGCATTCAACACAGAGTCAGGAACAGTCTGTCATTTTGAGATTTGGGAATAGTCAATCATTTTGAGAGTCAGTAATTGTCAATCATTTAGAATGTGTTCTAAATTTGACATACTGTTGCAGTAATTAAGGAAACTACAATTTTTAGCTACCTAATGTTGGCTATAAATGACACAAAGAATAATAAGAACATTTAGCCCGTTTTTTTGTGTCCTCTATCATGGACAACAAGGAAATGTTGGAGCCATGATACTCTATCAATTGCAATAGTATGCTTTGTAGTGTAATTTCCCTTAAGAACTGCCCTAAAATACGAAAACAATTTTTTTGTTTTCTTGATTACGAGGTTCATTTGTTGCAAACATTTGCTAGTGTTAAGCAAAGATTTATTTTCTGGAAAGACATTAATCCAATAGCAATGCCATCTCCACTAATTTTGCTATGTGTTACAACTAAAACTTTGTTTTTAGGGGTTGATTAATGTATTAAATATTAATACCGGTATATTACTTTCAATTTTTCCATGCTTGTTGAAGAAAAAAAACACAATAACAGCACAAAAAATAAAATAAGTGCAATTTTCTTAACTGGATGTTGCTTCAATGGTATTCTATATTTGATGTAATGACATTGGCATACATCTAAAAAGGCCTGCATCATTACCTATTTTTATAATTAATTAAAGGAAAACAAATGCTTAATTTATTTTAACACAATTTACAAGGAAAATAGTATTTATGGAATATTGGAATCATTATTTTTTTGTTTGTACTCTTCACTCAAGGTACTATCTACTCAAAATACATAACATACAATAATTTAAGTTCAGTACATTAACTTCATATGTTTATTACATTTCAGTACAGAGGTGAATTGTATCAATAAAAAATATTAATTTACTGAGGTCCTTGAGTGCTAGCAACATGAGTGGAGTAGGTGTGGAGCCTTCATCTCGCATAGGTGTAACGCTTGACCTAATTTTAAAAACCCTGATTGCATCTTCTGAGTTTGCAAGCTTAGAACCTAAGAACTGGGAGGCTATAGCTCATCTCATCCCTGGTACTTCAGCTGTGCAGGTTAGTTAATTTATAAATAAATAGATAGGACATAAGATGTTTTGTTATTTTCTAATATATTTTTTAAAGTTTTTATATCATAACTGACACAAACAACATTTGTAATCGAATAGATATTACGTTGTTCATTTCTATGTTTTTGAAATACAATATTATTAGAATGTATATAAGTTATCAATTTGTAAATTAATAAACATTTTTGTCAGACACAAATGGGGTTTTAGTTTTACACATACTGAAATTACTTGAAGAATGTTTGTTTCCAAAAATAAGAAAATTAAAAATTAAAACATAAAGTTTGTATGATTAGAGAATTTTCTCCTTTACAGCTTGCAAACCAGCAATGATTAAATAATTATAGTATTAATTTTCAGTGTGCAAGAAGATATGAAGAATTGCTAAGTGGGGGTGGGGGTGTGGCACTGCAGCATCTGACACGGACAATGACGAATGCTGGACTAAATACAAGCACTAGTGTAACCAGTCTTTGTGAGTCAGAAACTAGTAGACGATCAGCAAGTAACAGCCGTCCCAATTCAAGTAAAAGCAAAGGTACTTCACATATTTCCATCCATCCCTGTGGCACTACAGCACATGCAGGTCTTTGGCCTGCCTCACTGCATCCTTCCATTCAAACCTAACTGATGATTTTCTTTTCCATGCTTGGATTTCCAGCTTCTGTCAATCCCTCTCCACATCATTCAGCCATCCATCTAAGCCTAGGTATGCATTTGAGCTGTTTTCCTTTGGGGTTTTGGTGGTGCACCCTCTTCACTCTTGTGTCATTTGGCATTCTTTCTAATTGTCCAGCTCAAAATAGGCTGCTCTTTTTTATTTCTGCTATTAGTGTGGGATCACTTCCTCCATATTTAATCAGATCTGCTGTGATGTGGTCTTCTCCGGTGGCTTTATTATTTTTCATAAAATTGATTACATCTGTAGTTTCTTCTTGTATTTCACTCAATAATATGTATGGATTTTTTTAGATGAAAAAAAATTTCAGTATATCTGGTCATGTGGTCATGTGATCATGAGGTAATCAAGCCCGTCTTACTTTTCAGGTACTAAGGATGACAAGGAAAAATCAAATACAATCAAAGATGGACAGTTTCGAAAGGATTTGAGTCAAAAGGGGTACAGTAAAAATTTTCTTAAAGTAAAACAAATGTAGAAATCATATGCGTGATTGTTATTATTGTGAAAGAGAAAAGGGGATGCAACCCATATTAGTAGTTTATTGATAAGAAATTTTTCTGTAAGTTATAAAATATGGGCACCTTAAACTGGTAATGATTTGTGAAAAATTTAGCTTGATACATTTTGTTTTGAATCTCTTTTCAGGCCAATAATGGTAATCCATGTATGTGATGAGGCCAAAAATTGTAAGTTTTCATTACAGGAAAACTTTTCTGTTAGTTATATGAATGAATATAACTTCTGTATTTTTAAGTATTGCAAATTAATCTGTGTGTATTTTTATAGTTTCATAAGTGGCTAGGATCTTTATTAAGTTAACAAAAAGCAACAAAATAGGACATCATAAAATATACTTAATATAAATGTCTTGAATTGATTCTGTAACTTTAAGTGTTATTAAACACGGGAAATTTTTTAAAAAGACAAAGAAAAATTTACTCATGCAACTATTATTCTTTTCTGGCTAGATGAAATGTTCATACAAAAAGTGTGAAACTATCAATACTTTGTATAGAGGGCATATAAATAAATGCACCATGAAACTATCCTCTCTCAATCCTGCACAGCACAAAAACAAAAGTTTATTATTGAAACTGATTTGAAGCACTTCATATGCTCATTATTTTGCAGTGAAAAAGGATTTTCAATGTCCCCGTGATCTGTTGGTACAGGAGATGAAATATTTTGCAGAGTATCTTTCCACTGATGCACAACGTTGGGAGGAAGTTGATATTTCTGTCCATTGTGATGTCCAGATTTTTGATTGGCTCATGAAATATGTCAAACGGGGCTCTAAAGAATTTCCAAATGAACCTAAATTAGGTGATTTATTTTGTAAACCCTGTGCAGTTATGTTTTGTTAGGCTTTCAGGGAAATAACCCATGAGCCATTGGCTGTTATGTTGTGTTAGAGTTCTAGGCACATACCCATGAGCCATTGGCAGTTATGTTGTGTTAGACTTTTAGGCATGGGCCATTGGCTGTTATGGGAACTATTTAATTTTTAATTTGATGGTCTTGGGTAAGACCTCCTTGTTAAAAACAATATACAAGCTTTATAACTGCTCATTAGTGTAAAAGAGTATCAGACATGATAAGTCACATCACCATTCGTTCAAATTAATCCATGTGATCATGAATATTTTTATGTTTCAGAGGCCAACAATGTGGTTTCTATACTAATATCATCCGATTTCCTTAAAATGGATTCACTGGTTTGTATTGATCCCTGTAACAATCATTTGCTAACATTGTTTAGAATTTCCTTACAATCTAAGAATTAATTTCCTAACACTGAATTTTGTTAACTGGTTATTAAAGTGACAAAGGCAGGGTTTGGTTGAGTTTTTGTGTATGATGTTTAGCTTAGGATAAAAGGAAATATAATATAACCCTATTTTAAAACTGTTTATTACAGTGACAAAGGCAGGGTTTGGTTGAGTTTTTGCCTAGGATGCTAAACTTAGGATAAAATGAAATATATTATATACCCTTTTTAAAAATAATTTAGCCTAGAAAAGCCTTTGAAATATGTTATGTTAAATTGATATAGTAATGTCTGAAATATGCCTTTCTAAATAGAAAATTAAAACTAAGTCCTTAAAATGAAAGAATCAGATTGTATTGATGGTGATAGAAAAATTTACTTCCTCGAATCCGTTGAAGTTGTTTACTCTTTTATAGGTTCTTGAGTGCATTAAATTTTGTCACAAGAATATGAGTGATATTGTGGCGACTCCTTGTAATATGGGTTGTATCAATGACAGACTTTTGACTAGGTAAATACAAACTGTTTTCTGTGTCTGCATTATTATGGATTTATCTGCTCATACATCATGTTATAGAGAGTTATGTGGCAGAGAAAACTATAATTCTCAGTTTGTTGTACATTTATACATTCTAACTTGGATATTTTCCATTTTAAAAATAAACTTTTATTATTTTAAAGAAAAGTTTTAACTGATGCAAAATTGAATTCAAAAATTTGTCCTGATTTTTTTTTAATTTTCAGAATTTCAGATTTATTTACACATAATGAAGCAGATGACGTGCGAGACCGAAAAGATAAGTTTAAAAGGTAAAAAAAAATATTTATAAAGGCTAACAGAGAAATTATGTTCAAATGAAATTAATATTTATAATTTTTTTATTAACTCTTAGTATGAACTTGGTGGCTTGAAATAAGTTAAATGTAAACAAAGTTGTAAAAACATTATATAATGAAATGCTCATATGTAAGAAATGCAACCATCATATTTTAAAAAAAAAAATTGTTTGCGCTGGAGGTGGGGATCTAGATGGATATAATGGATCTTGTTCACACTGGAGACAACGAAGTGATATAAACTGTATCCCATTTGTTTTAAATGAGATGTCTTGATGAATTTTCAATGGCATCTTTCCAAGCAAACTATTCTCCAAGATGATTGAGAAGTTGTTTGATCCTGATGTTGTCAATGCAGACTCACCAGAGCAGGCCACAACATTGTTCAGGTGTGTCCTTCACAAAGAACCATTCAAATCAATAGGGAATAATTATAAGTATAGATTTAATCACTGACATTAAGTATGTAATCGCTGATTTAGATGTGTAATCACTGACATTAAGAATGTAATCGCTTATATGAGATGTGAAATCACTGGCATTAAGTATGTAATTGCAGATATAAGATGTGTAATCACTGACATTAAGTATGTCATCGCTGATATGAGATGTGTAATCACTGACATTGAGTATGTAATCGCTGATATGAGATGTGCAATCACTAGCAAGCCATTATTAAAATTACTTTAAATTGTTCAGCTCAAGAGTTTATTTTTAAAAGAGAAAATAACTATTTATTTAAGGTGACTAATAGAGCATTTCTGTGTTAATGCTCAGACCAGCGTAACATTTGTTTCCTCTTAACGTCTTTGTAACATTTGATTCCTCTTAGCGTCTTTGTAACATTTGATTCCTCTTAACGTCTGTGTAACATTTGATTCCTCTTAGTGTCTTTGTTTTCAAAATCTTCTGATGATTTCCTGTTACAGATGCAGTATATGCAAGCGTCACCTGATCAATAAGATGAAGACTTTGGTCAAGTGCATGCCTAGCAGGTTAATGAAAGAATCTCTCTAAACTTCTCAAAATCTATGAATCACCACCTCTCTCCAAACTCTATTTTAAATTCTTCTCTCTCTTTTTCAAAATAATAAAGTGAAAGGATTTCATTGATAATTAACAGTTAATTTTTCTGAGCAAAATTTAACATTATTCACTGTTATTTTAATATGTTTTACATTATTCAGAAAGGAAATGTCTGTCTTATCTTTTTTGAAAATTTAATATTTTAAACTTTTGCTTCTGAACATTACTTTGTACATCTGGCCTGTTTTCCATACCAAAGTAAAGTATAAAAATCTGACACACCTTTGTGTGATCATTCCTTAGGTTGACCATTGATCGGACCGGACAGATGACCTTCTCTCACATTCCTGACCCCACATTTGACGTTAATGATTACATCCTGGAACTCAAAGGTCAACTCAAGACCTGGAGAGATGTCTATTGGCGGCTGTGGGGGACCGTCAACTGTTTCACCTGTGCCAGGTGTGGTGACGTCTTCCCGCTAACAGAATTCGGCCACTGCAGGTAAAGGAGTTTTCAGAGGTGGCTTCCACACAGGATCCAGTTACCAACCAGAGGCTGTATGTTATCAAAGCTAATCTGTGTGTTGTCTTATGTCCCAGTTACCCGCCAGAGGGGCTGTGTGTTATCAAAGCTAATCTGTGTTTTGTCTTATGTCCCAGTTACCCACCAGAGGGGCTGTGTGTTATCAAAGCTAATCTGTGTTTTGTCTTATGTCCCAGTTACCCACCAGAGGGGCTGTGTGTTATCAAAACTAATCTGTGTGTTGTCTTATGTCTCAGTTACCCACCAGAGGGGCTGTGTGTTATCAAAACTAATCTGTGTGTTGTGTTATGTCCCAGTTACCCACCAGAGGGGCAGTGTGTTATCAAAACTAATCTGTGTGTTGTCTTATGTCCCAGTTACCCACCAGAGGGGCTGTGTGTTATCAAAGCTAATCTGTGTGTTGTCTTATGTTCCAACTAGTTACCACCCAGAAACTGCACGTTATGAAACTGAGCCTGGAGGAGTAACTTCCTGTGTTGGGGTTTATCCCTGCTGTCATCAGAAGTCTGTGAGATTTGATCCAACTTTCATCAACAAGGTAACACTATTATGCCACTCTGTGTAAGTTATAGACAATTGGTTTTGAGCAAGGATTTTTCCTTGGGATCTATTTATAAATTTAACCTCATCACCAGGCCTGGTTATTCTTATGATTTTGGCATACAATTTAAAATTTTGAGATACTTTTACGATTGTATGCCAAGACCTATCAGAACTACGATTTTAAGAGACTAGGTTGAAAAAATATATTTTGTTAGTTTTAACTCCTTACTACATCCGGCGATGAATGGACCTAGAAATATGATAGGTTAGGGCCCATCCATGATTATTCTATGTATTCACTTTGAAATATACATACATCATTATTGTGTTTACAATATGTACCATTTCTGTGTAGCCGCTTCCTTTTTGGACTGATTGAAAAAAAAAAATTGAAATAAGTAATCTTTAAAAAAAATTTAAAAACTATTTTAAGATTTAGTAACTACTGAAATAAAAAGGATTTATATAAACACAGCCAGGTATAGAGAACCTATTTTCCACAAGCATAACGATTAAGAATGATAAAAAGAACACACTATATTTTGCCAATATTTGTTATATAAATTATTCTACATGTTTATTTCTTTACTATTAGGATATGGTATTGTACAATTTTGAGATAGTAAAGAAATATTCTGAAATGATATTTTACTATTTTGAGAGTTCCAGGGTAATCAGGTCTGACATCACTATTTGCCTCATTATGGCGCTGAAAGCTATTGGCATAAACTTTTGTGAGGATGGTGTAGACTTCACAGGGCCTGGGATTATACTTTTTTTTTTATAAGCTGGTTCCATAAACAGAAAATTGCCTCTATCCACGCTGCTGGATAACCCAAGGGAACATCATGTGGATGATACAGCTTGGCACCAGTGGCGTCGCATGAGTTGTCGGAATGTTCCATTATGTCAATGTTATCCACATATGGGACTCCATCTCCGGGTTTGAATTCAGAGTTTCCTTGTCTTAGATGAGTTGCCACCTAAGGTTAATGAGCCCACCCATCCACTTGGGGTGCTGGTGATTTTTTGCTTGGGATTGCCTCAGTGTAGACCACTCAGCCACCCAGCACCATAGTTAGATCATTATATATAACATGACAAAGTTTTTTTCTCACTAATGAGAAATCACCAATCTAAATCAATGCCACCATTTTGTAATTGACAGGGCTGTAGAGTTAAAGACCACATCGTTAATCTCCCGAGTGGGGGAGACGGAGAAAAGGCAACCAAATCTCCCATGCAGTCCGTTTTTGACGATCTTCTTCTTAGGAGAGATGTCATTTGTGTCCCATACCAACGACTGTGTGACTTTAGGTAATGTAGCAGTGTGATTGTCACTTTACGTTATGTACCGGTGTGATTCTGTCACTTCGATAATGTATCAATGAGATTGTGACTTTAGGTAATGTAGTAATATGACTGTGTGACTTAAGATAATGTACCAATGAGACTGTGACTTAAGGTAATGTAGCGATGTGACTGTGTGAATGTAGGTCATGTCCAATGAGACTGTGACTTTAGGTAATGTACCAACGAGACTGTGACTTTAGGTAATGTACCAATGAGACTGTGACTTTTAGGTAATGTAGCAATGTGACTGTAGGCCATTTACCATTGAGACTGTGATTAAAGGTAATGTACCAATGAGACTGTGACTTTAGGTAATGTAGCAATTTGACTGTGTGACTACTGTGTACCATTTAGACTGTGACTTAAAGTAATGTACCAATGAGACTGTTGCATGCTGATAGTAGTGTAGATTAGATGTATTATTGAAAAATAAGTTGTATGCATTTTAAGAATAAACATATTTATACTTGACAAATTTCAAATATAGATTATGTTCAGAGTGAAGATGATTAACTTGAACGGTCTTAGTGAATTTTAATGCCATTATAAAAAAACTCATGTACTGCATGTGTTGTTGAAAGGGAGAGTTGCATGTATTTAAAATTTTATTTTTTCATTCAATTTATGAATAAAAAATAATTATTTTTTGGATGGATGTAATTCATAAACAAATGTATATTTTATACAAAAATTACACATTCAGTAATTTCCCTTTACCCTTGATTACTTCACTTTAATCTCACCATTGGCAAAACATTCCATCTTAACATATGAGAACATAGTTTCAGAGGCGTAGCGAGGTGGGGGGGGGGGGAAAGATGTCCCCGGGCGCAAGCTAGTTAGGGGCGCCAAAATGTGCTTTGATATTATTTTATTGGTAAAAATAATGGGTTTGAGAGTTGAAAAAAAAGAAAAGGGGGCGCTTTTTAAATGGATCTTGTCCCCGCACGAATCTTGTCCCCGGGCGCCAAACACCCTCGCTACGCCTCTGCATAGTTTTGAAGGTGTTTTAAAAAAATTAATTTCTTACTCTACATGCCATCAGTATGTAGTTTTTATGTAAAAGTCTGGTATTTTAAATGTATAAAAATTCATCCAAATTGCTTTGAATAAAAGAAATTAAGACAATAGGTGTGTTATATAAAAACCAATAACTAATGAAAATGAGACATTGCTTTATTAAATGTATGTGATTTTCTTCCCTTACATAATGGATCTTATTTTAACTGGTAACACACAGTGAGAGGTAGGAGTTACTGTAATGTTTATCAATATTATCTAACTTTATACTCTTGAACTAAAACCAGGGCTCTGTCAAATTATTTTACTCTTGTATGAACTAAACCCAGTGATCTGTATAATTTATTTTACTCTTGTATGAACTAAACCCAGTGCTCTGTATAATTTATTTTACTCTTGTATGAACTAAACCCAGTGCTCTGTCTAATTTATTTTACTCTTGTATGAACTAAACCCAGTGCTCTGTATAATTTATTTTACTCTTGTATGAACTAAACCTAGTGCTCTGTATAATTTATTTTACTCTTGTATGAACTAAACCCAGTGCTCTGTATAATTTATTTTACTCTTGTATGAACTAAACCCAGTGCTCTGTCTAATTTATTTTACTCTTGTATGAACTAAACCCAGTGCTCTGTATAATTTATTTTACTCTTGTATGAACTAAACCCAGCGCGCTGTCTAATTTATTTTACTCTTGTATGAATTAAAACCAGGGTTCCGCATAATTTATATTGCTCTTGCAAGAACTAACATAGAAGTTACTTATAATTATATCTAAATTAATTAACATTTTTTTTCCAATAACTCTTTTTAAAATCTGACTTCTCAGTATTTTGTTTTTATAATAATTTTCTTTTGTTTTGTTAATTTTATTTTTACTTTTAATTCTCCAAAGCTTTCCTTAAGTACAATGCCAATGCTTAATTAAATTTTCTTAATTATTTTTAATATAAAATTATCAATACCTCATCAATATTTGATTTTGCTTTCATGGAGTTTTGTGATTAATAATCCTATAATGATCATATTTCACAACTGGCTACACTGCTACAAAGATATGCTCTAGAGATTAGATTGTATTTGCCACACTACTTAACTAATTCAGTTCAGCTTGAAAATGAAAAGCTTATCTAACAAGGTCAACTTGACATGGCAGCAGCTCAGCACAACATAATATAGAAATGTGTACTTACCCTCCAATCAATGTATTTTATTTAAAGAAAGACCTGCTCCTCTTGTAAGCATCAACTGTTTGCCAATCCTGTCAAAGTGTGCAATGTCTGGTGTGAAGTCTTCACACCAAATTTTAATGTCAAACTTCTCATCTGACTTTATGCAGTGTGCTTTTTTTACATGTGTTTCTCTCAGTAATTAAAATATATTAGAATACTTAAAACGTGGGGTATACAAGAGTTACTGGTGCTGAGGGTAGATATTTCTTTGTAGGTTTGTATCAAGATGGAGTTTGCTTACAAAACTGGCTAAAAAAAGTTGTAATAATAGAATGTGTATAACATAATTTTTAATGTAAATAATCAGTTATATACTACATGACTTAATATTCAAACATTTCAATTAATCTACATCAACAAATATGATTCAGGTATTAAAAAGTTTATTTTAATTTTATGTTTAAACTAATAAAAATTATGTGTTGAAAAATTATTTTGATTAAATTTTACTTTTTTTTTACCAGGTCTACTCTGTAACAATAGCTATGTGTTTAAATGAGTGGTTAAATGCAGTCTCAAAAAATAAAGATTTCTTTTCCTTTTATGTATTTAGTTTGAATGTTTTGGATTAACTCTGTCATTTTAAGTTAAAATGATATAATATAGCTTTTAGAAATTAGAGCACACCACCTTATTAAATGTTAATATGATAAGAATATAGCTTTTAGAACTTAGAGTAAACCACCTCATTAAGAGCTAAAATGACTATAGCTATTAGTATGTAGACTAGACCACTAATTTGGAAGTTGAGGTTTTTTGCTCATTGGTGACCTTCTCCTAAAAAGTAGCTGCTGTATATGCTAGCAAATGTATTCCACTTGGAAATATTATTTCGTAACTGGCGATAACCCCAAAATTATTTTGCTTTAAATAAAGTCATATTTATGTTTGTTTTTATATATTACCTCCAAAGCCCGATTTCATCCAGTTGGCAAAATGAGGGAACAAAGTGTGAAATGGCCAATGCTTATATAAATAGACCGGTCAAAGTTCAATATTTTCTTGACTTTCCGATTTGGCCAGTCTTTTTGCAAAATGGCATGAGGTAATTAGCAAGTTTTATGGTGATTTTTATTCTGTGCTCAGGTATTCAAGTGTGAGCAGTTGGAAAATTCACTTCTGGAACAGGCAATGTTTGAAAACACTATGTTGCATTTCTAGCTTGTAGAAAGCGCACTCAACGTTTATGTCAACTGCAAGATATTCTTGCATTACCACATCAAAGTTTGGCTAGGGACTGCCCGCCACTTAGTGAAATAGCTGGCCAAAGTAGGGAATACACTTTTCATTTCAAGTGCATCAGAACTTGGCCACACCTCTTTTTTTTTCGTGCCATTTCATGAACTGACCAAGCTTCAGGCTTTGGCCATAGCATGTACACTACTAACATGGAGCTTGTTAAAATTCAATGAATTGTGTGTGTTCTGTTTTGTTCAGACCTTTGCAATGACCTCAGCATAACTTGTTACTGTTGATATTTGTAAAACTCATTACTATTATGAGTGTCATTTAAAGTTGTAAGTTATCTCGTTCCATATCAGTGAGATGCAGGTTGATGTCTTCACCAATGAAGTGTTTGCCTGCCAGACACACTCTACAGGGATTCAACTACCCAGCCTCAGTGCCGCTTCCGATGAGGGAAAAGTTGAGGTAGGATTTCTGTAAATCCCATTTAATAGAATCAATTTATTCATGCAGCAGTTCATTCTTTGGATCATGCAGCTGTCCACTAAATGGCTCGTGCAGCTGTCCTTTCAATGGCTCATGCAGCTGTCCATTCAATGGCTCATGCAGCTGTCCATTCAATGGCTCATGCAGCTGTCATTTTAATGGCTCATGCAGCTGTCCACTCAATGTCTTGTGCAGCTGTCCATTTAATGGCTCATGCAGCTGTCCATTCAATGGCTCATGCAGCTGACCATTCTATGGATCATGCAGCTGTCCATTCAATGGCTCATGCAGCAGTCAATTCAATGGCTCATGCAGCAGTCCATTCAATGGCTCAATCTACTTTTCATCTGTTGGTTCATGTGGCCGTGTATTGATTGGCTCATGCAGCTGTTTATCCATTGACCCAATGACAGAATTCATACAAAGCCATATGCAACATTAATTATTATTGACTAAACTAAGCATATTTTGACTAATCTGTTTCAGATTTTCGTCTATATTTTTTCAAATATTTTATCCATGTAAGGTGGCGATTTGTTTAAATTTCATTTCCTTCTTTGGCCACATGAAAAGCACAAAACATCATTTTCCTGGTGTCACTATTATTATTATGCATTTTTTCAGGTAAAACCGAGACTGCAGGCCCTGACCGTAGAGAAGGAGGTGTCCTATTACATTGATGAGTTTGGACCTGAAAGCGATGATGACGAAGTTGGAGATGAAGAATCAAGTCCAGGTCAGTGGACCATTAAATTATCAACATTCTGCCTCCTTTTTTTTTATTTTGACACCATAGAGTTAAGTTTGAAAAATATGTTTAACTTATACATAAAAAAATTCTAACTTCCCATTCGCATTACACCTAGTCACATTTCCAACCCAATTATATTACAGCTAGTCACATCTCTAAACCCAATTAAATTACAATATTTTTTCAGGAGCCAACAGTAAGAAGCCAAGCAGAGGCTTAAAAAAATCTCTTGTTACAGTCGAACCTCAGGCCATACTGCTAGATGCTCCAGGCTTTGAGTAAGTGGCATCAGTACTTGTATTCTAATGGCAGTGTTGCTATTCAATAATTGTATTTGTAATGGCAGTGTTGCTACTGGCACAATACTTATATTTGTAATGGCAGTGTTGCTATGCAATACTTGTATTTTTAATGGCAGTATTGCTATTCAATACTTGTATTTGTAATGGTAGTGTTGCTATTCAATTCTTGTATTTGTAATGGGAGTGTTGCTATGCAATACTTGTATTTTTAATGGCAGTGTTGCTATTCAATACTTGTATTTTTAATGACAGTGTTGCTATTCAATACTTGTATTTTTAATGGCAGTGCTGCCTTCATGACAATTTGTTCTGTTATAAAAATAATGTTTTAATCACTCTTACTTTTAAGTTTTCTAAGCCTGTGTGTGTAATAAATAATGTGTGTCTCTGTGTGTGTAATAAATAATGTGTTTGTGTAATACATTTTGTGTCTGTGTGTAACACATTCCATTTCAGTAATAAACTTTTGGCAACAGTGTAATACATTCCATGTTTTGTGTGTGTGTACATTGTGTGGGTCTATGTAATATATTACATGTGTCAGTGTGTGTGATACATTTCAAGGATGTTCTCATCACCAGTCAAAGCAAGAAATCTACATGGGACACACAAAGGTCCATCAGATACAATCAAGATGCACAAAGGCAAGAAGGTGGGTGCACACACACAGAATTTAAACTGGATTTTTTAATATTTTTTTTAAACAAGATATTTAAAGACAGTTTTTATAAAAACATTTTCAATAATTTGTATTAAAATAGTTGTTTTGTTTTGTTTGTTTGTTTGTGTCAAGAAAATCATCTAAACATTTCAGTCGAAATAGTTTTTTTATAGCATTATTAATGGGTTGGTTTTTTGTTTGTTTTGTTGCTGTAATATGGTTAATGGTTAAGTCAGTATTTTAAAATTTGAATTCAACTTCAAACAAGTCATATCATTTATGTAAGATAAAAATCATTGTTCATCTAATTTCTAGATGCCCGACGAATGAAAGAAATACGATTATTTCTGACCCGGCTTCGTCTCACCCCAGAGAAGGTGGATAAACCAAAAAGGGAGGTAAGTTGTAGAAAATTATCAAAATCGTTGCTCAGAAGACTAACCAATTTTTAAGTTAATTTTAATAACTGTCCATTTATTTTTACCATCTCCCCTTGCAACACCCATTGGTAGTCCTGAGGTTCTCATTATCTCCCATGATACAGTTTGCAGGTGGAATATTTAGCAAGTTAGAAAGTCAGTGGAAGGCCAACCATTTACAAAACAGAACACTTCAGCCTGCAGCTTTCAGGTCATTTCTCCTTTATTTTAATACTCATGTTGTCTAGTGGAGGCTAGATTTAGATATCTGAAAGTACAAGAAACTTAATTGGAAATAGTCATAAAATCTTTATTATAATGTATTCCAAAGTTGTTACCTATTTTCTTTTTTTTTTTTTTTTTAAATGCTTAACAAAAAATGTAACCTCTTTTATAATAATTCATAATTTGCCCTATTCATCTATTTTTATATTGGAAATAGTCATAAAATCTTTATTATAATGTATTCCAAAGTTGTTACCTATTTTCTTTTTTTTTTTTTTTTTTTAAATGCTTAACAAAAAATGTAACCTCTTTTATAATAATTCATAATTTGCCCTATTCATCTATTTTTATTTATTCTACAGAGCACGTCCCAAGCCACTGGGTCAACCTAAGCCACAATTCAGTTAATAAAGGCCATTGTTTAATATCTTAAATTATCCACAAATATTTTGCTTATTAAAACGGAAAATAAATGCTTCATACCTAGCGCGTTATAGGGTTGTACACAAAGGTATAAAATATTTATGTTAATCTTAAATTGTTCAAAGCACTTTTTATTATAAAAATAACACATGTCTTGTAACATTATGTTTTTTGTTAACTGTTTACAAGCTATATGTTCATGAAGTAATGATGTAGATAATTTATGTTGATGCTAACATATGCTATTTTTGGATGACCTACATTCACAACTCAAATTTGTAACACTGCAGCTGCTGCTGTAAAAAAAAAAAGTAAGAAAAATTACTTTATGGAATTAACAAAAATATAATACAACACTTATTTTTTGTTATCTTCCTCAATGTTTAAATATCCATGATTGAGATTGCGTAGTGCATTTTTTCAAACAGTGCAGCCTTTCAGCAAAATGAGAAAATAAAATATACACATATGTAAAACACAGTTGTAATACAGATGTAATACACAAATTTCATACAAAAATGTCATACATAGATTAATACACAGTTGTAATACATATGTAACACACAGATGTCATACACAAATTTTAATGTCATACACAAATGTCATACATAGATGTAATACACATGTAATACAGTTTTAATACACAGATGTCATACATAAATGTCATATATAGATGTAATACACAGATGTCATGCACAAATGTCATACACAAATGTCATACACAAATGTCATACACAAATGTCATACACAAATGTAAATCACAGATGTCATTAACATGTAACTCACAGATGTCATACACATGTAAATCACAGATGTCATACACATAGAAATCACAGATGTCAATCACATATAAATCACAGATGTCATACACATATGTCATACACAGATGCAAATCACAGATGTCAATAACAAAAAATTCCTAGATGCAGCAGTTTATGAAAACAAATGAGAAGAAGAACTGACTAGTCCAGACGTGTCACTGTTGACCATCCAAAGTAAAACTCCAGTGGAATAGGGTTTTAATGTCGGCCATCTTGGTCTGGTAAACATGGTCAAACCAGATGTTGAGTTCTTCACTGAAGTAACTTTGCCAGCTTCCCACTTTACCTGGGGATTAAGTAGAAATCAACTACATTACCTGTGCTACATTTAAGCCACCTACATTACCTGTGCTACATTTAAGCCACCTACATTACATGTGCTACATTTAAGCCACCTACATTACCTGTGACACATTTAAGCCACCTACATTACCTGTGCTACATTTAAGCCACCTACATTACCTGTGCTACATTTAAGCCACCTACATTACCTGTGCTACATTTAAGCCACATTACCTGTGCTACATTTAAGCCACCTACATTACCTGTGCTACATTTAAGCCACCTACATTACCTGTGCTACATTTAAGCCACCTACATTACCTGTGCAACATTTAAGCCACCTACATTACCTGTGCTACATTTAAGCCAACTGAATTACCTGTGCTGACCTGAAGAAAATTCTAGCTGACATACTCTAGTTGCACCAATGCCAAGATTATTATTGTAGTCTATTCTCTGTATTGTAGTCTATTCTCTGTATGCAAAATAAGCAGGATAAAGGGGGTGGGGGCGTCTATCCACCCTTCTCCGTATATGATGCTGTAGACCGGCCGGCCACAAATCGGTTTTGACTCCGAAAAGCATGGTGCAGTGCTAGGCAGGTTCTTGAAAGTGAATTTGGCTCTCAAAAATTGTTCAATCGTCCTGCTGTTGATGTTTGGTCCTTTTGACCAATGAGTTTGCCGACCACTGCTGTAGACAAGTGTGGACTAGGCTCGCCGAGGGCATCCATGTGTTTGTTGGGACTTTTAATAATTCATTAAACGTTTCTTTTAGGATACTCTCTTTAGTCTAGTTAGTTGTGGACAGACATACAAGATGAAGAATTGCTCTATTTCATCATCTACTCTAATATATATTACGCTTCTGGTGTGACTCGTGGACTGATTCCTAATAGACTGTTTCTTAATAGCAATTGACTGCTTCATAATCAGCGAATTTGGTATTGAGAGTATATTACAAATAATTGTAAATGTTTGAAAAGAAGGCATGGTTCAATAGTGAGTTCAATAGCGCGCTAAATGTAATTCCCGAAAACTACGCTACATGATTTTTTTTTAAATTTAAATAACGCCAGTGCAGTGACGTATCATTGGTGGGGGGGGGGGTGTAGCGAAATTGGGATTCTTAAATGTGCGTTACTTGAGTTCATGTTTTGTTAAGTAACTTTTAGTAGATGGGAAGTTCACGCATTGCTGTCACCAATGTTTGGCGGGCTATATCTAGTATGTATTATTGCTCACCTTTTCTGTACATTATAGAATTCCCTTGCTTGTCCAAGTCAAATTCGGCTTTTTTGGCACGCATTCGCTCTATAGAACACTCGCTAACAATTTTAGAAACCAGCTCAGCAGAGGGTGAAAGGTCAAGGTAGTTTGCAAGATCTTGTATGATCTTTTTTGGATTCTGGTGACAAAATAATTGACCACATGATTATATGTTCCATTTGACAGGGCTACCTGAAAAGCTTTGTTAGCATTACAACGTATGAGTACGATGCATTATGGGAACTCAGTCAATGACTCTATCGTTAGAGTGATTAGTTGAATGATGTAAACCACCCGTAACAGGTAGCCACGTGATACAAGCCACTGTTAGAATACAACACTTGTAACCAGTGTTTATTTTTTAAATTTTCCCGGGGGGGGGGGAGGCACTTCAGATATTCGGGGGGGGGAGGAGCATTTGCGTTTCCCCGGCTGGCACTGCCTCCCCCCCCCCCCGGGAATCTAGCTGAAAAAAACCCTGCTTGTAACAAATTGTGACTGTGATACCTGTGATGTTTTGATAATACACATTGGACCATGTTTTAATAATACACAGTGGACCATGTTAATAATACACAGTGGACCATGTCAATAATACACAATGGACCATGTCAATAATACACAGTGGACCATTCTCACAAATGACTAAGACGGGGGTTAACAAAAGAGCTCCATTGTTCTTCAGGTAATTTATAGAGTGGACGGAATGTGCTGTGATTTTGTGGAGGAAATTGCTAGGCGCATGGGGTAAGGTTAAAATAAAAGATTCTCGCATCTTTTAGATTGGGGGAGGGGGGGGATGTTTCTTTCCAAAATAGTGTGTCTCGTGCCTTCCAGACTTCCCGTGATAATTTTGGTGTTGACGACGGCAGTTCCTAATTGACCGGAAATGACGGAGGCATGGATGGGTCAATAGCTAGCATTCCTGGTGGAACACCTCGGGAGGTAGAGAATGGTATACAAGATAGAACTCTTCCTGACATAGGGAGCGTTAGAGATTCGTGGACGGTCATTCTGACGTGACAGACCAAATAAATATTATATTTTCATAGGAATTTCTAATTTCGCAACTATAATAAAGTTGCTGGCCTTAATTATTATTTAATATTGATATACAAATTTTTTTTTTTTAAATCTTGTTTTTGACACGAATTGCAAGACGGCTAGGGCCTAGATTGAGTTAATCCATCTCCCTGGATAGAGGAAATTCCGGCATGTGGATAAGTTGTGAAGCAAATTGAGTACATTTTACGGATAGGCAGAAAATGTGTCCCGAAGGTGTCAGCATCATAAAGTCAGCATGTTGTCCCGTGATAAGCGGTTTTAAAAGGGGCAAGGAAACACAAAATACAATGAAATCAGGAGAAACTTACTGGATGGTATTCCCACCTGGGAAACGTCCTCCAAAAATTATGGTATTTCCATATGGGAAAGGTCCTTTAAAAATGTAGGGTAATCCGACCTGGGAAAGGTACTCCAAAAAGAGTATGGTATTACCCCCTGGGAAAGGTCCTTCAAAATGTATGGTATTAACACCTAGGAAAGGTTCTTCAAAATGTATGATATTCCCTTCTGGGAAAGGTCCTCCAAAAATTATGGTATTTCCATATGGGAAAGGTCCTTTAAAAATGTAAGGTATTCCCTCCTGGGAAAGCTCCTCACAAATGTATGATATTCTCACCTGGGAAAGGTCCTCGTAGTTGACCTCCATAATAGGAATGTCCGGATAATCGCGTACTGCCCTGCTCCAGTTGTCAATGTGATGGAACCAGGAGCCAAAGTCAACTGAAGGGGTTAAAAGCCGGGGTCCATGAAAGGGGGTGGCATGGAGAAAGGAATGCATTACATCATTAGTAGTGGAGCGACCAGCCGGGCGACACTTTGTGGGGGGCATGGAGAGAGGAATGCATTACATCATTAGTAGTTGAGCAACCAGCCGGGCTGCACTTTGTAAGGGGGGGGGGCGCCATGGAGAGAGGAATGCATCACATCATTAGCAGTAGCGCAACCAGCCGGGCGACACTTTGTGGGGGG